TTGGCTATTACAGATAAAGCAGTTATGAACACTTTGGTATGTTTTTGTTTTGTTACTTTTTCATTTCTCTAGAATTATAGGCCAGGAGGGCAATTACTGAGGTGAATATTATAACTTTATGTTATAAAGTTAGTACTGTCTAACTTTATAAGAAACTGCTGAGCTATTTTCCATAATTGCTGTATCATTTTAAGTTCCCATCAGCAGTCTATGAGATCCAATTTCTTCACATCCTCTTGATATTTTTTAATTGTTCTAATAGATGTGTAATGATATGTTATTGTATTTTAAATTTTAGTTCCCTAATGTCTAATGATTTTAGAATATCTTTTCATGTACTTATTTTTTGTTTGCATATCTTTGGTACTTTGTTAAAATCATTTGTACATTTTCTAAATGGACTGTTTTCTTACTATTGAGCTGAGAGAGTTCTTGATATATTGTTATAATGGCTTAAGATATGTGATTTTCAAATATTTTTTAAATTTGTGGTTTGTCTTAACAAGGTCTTTCATAAAAAGTTTTTTTTTTTTTTTTTTTTTCTGTGGTGCCAGGGATTGAACTCAGGACCTTGTGCTTGCAAGGGAGGCACTGTGCCACTGAGCTAAATCCCCGGCCCTTTTGTAAAAAGTTTTTAAGTTTTAATGAAACCCAATAACATACTAACTTTTTTCTTGTATAGATTATGCTTTTGTAAATTAAGACCTTTTCTAACCCTAGGCTCTAGAGACTTTTTCCTGGGTTCTCTTCTGAAAGCTTTAAAATTTTATGTTTTACATTTAGATCTGTGGTACATTTTGAGTTAAATTTTTATACAGTATAAGATATGAGGTTTAAGTCAATGTACTGTCCCCTTCATTGTTGACCACATATTCTAGCACTCTTTGTTTAAAACACTGTTATCGAATTGTGTTTGCCTCATTGACAAAGTTAGTTGGCTGTATTTCTATGTGTTTATTTCTGGATTTTTTGTTTTGTTTTTTTGGTACTGGGGATTGAACTCAGGACCTTGCACTTGCAAGGCAGGCATGGTACCGCTGAGCTAAATCCCCAGCCCAATTTCTGGATTTTTCTATTCGGTATGTCTGTCACTACTGAGGGCTTGGATTTAATTCCTCTTTTCTGACTAATCACTAAGTATGGCTTGTTTATAAACTCATACAGTGGTAGGAATTTTAAACTTGTTTTGGGAGATAGCAACTTTAAAGTGTATGTATGACATTAAACTGTATCAGACATAGATTTTCTTAAGCTTGCTAGTTATGTGTCTCAGTAAAGATTAATTCTCATTTTTGTTATTCCTTTCCTTACAGTGGTAATAGTCTATATTCCATGTATGTTAAAAAGTTAACTCAGAAGTAGGATGTTGGAGGAGGTTAAATGTTGTTTTGTTTTGAAACAGGGTCTTGCTATGTATTTCAGGCCGGCCTTGAACTTGCAGAAATCTTCCAGCTTTAGCCTCCTGAATGCTGGGATTACAGGTGTCCACCACCATGTGTGGCACACAGGCATAGTTTTTTAAAGAAATCAAATAATATACTGAGCTTAAAATTTTAAAAATTGCACTACCTCCCTTCCTCCTTCAGAGTCTATTTTCCCCGCAGAGAATCACTTTCAAATTTATTAGCTGTTATTCTCATTCACCTTCTTATTTATTAATAATACACAGGTTTTTTTTTAAGTTCAGTAATTTTAGATATTTTCTGTTGGCTCTCCACTTATTATGGAAGATGAAGACGTGGCACTCCTAGAGCAAGCACTCTTACTTCTTTTTCTATAATCTTCTCAATATAATTACCTCCCAATTTTTATTTAATATTTATGTGGTAGTGCTTGGATACATGTAAATATTAACTACTGTTGAATTGAGTCATTTGATTACATTACTTTCTTTGAGCAATTTTTGCTTTTCCTAAAGTACATAGTTTTTCTTTCTTTTTTTTTTTTTTTTGGTTAGTGTACTGGGGAATGAGCCCAGGTTCTTTGCCCTGAACTACATTCTCTACCCTTGTATTTTTTTAAGGCAAAATAAATACTTTGTTTTAATTTTAAAAGAAATCAGCCTTTAATGTGACATTTCAAACATTTATAAACCTTTGATATATTCTTTCAAAGAACAGTATTAACATCTCAACCACTTTATTTTTTTCATTTTGAGACGGTGTCTAAGTTGCTTAGTTGCCCAGGCTAGGCTAGAACTTCTTTCTCTTGCCTCAGCCTCTCATTGTGCAGGGACTGATTATAGGCCTGTACATGCCTAGGTAAAGTATATAAATCTTTAAAAAAAAAAAAATCAATTTCCTGTGTTTCCTATGTGACTGTTTTTTATCAATTCCAGATTTTCATACAGTATTATAATAGTCCACATAATAAAGTCAGACAATCAAGTGACCTGTCAATTCTGTTTTTTCTTCTGAAGATCCTGGAGCCATTTGACTGTTGTTCCAGCCTGCTACATAGTAGCTCTTGTCCTGTGGCTTTGCTTCATCACTGCCCTGTGTTGAATCCACTTTTCCTGAATTCTATATCTTCTTTTTTCTTGCCTTCTTATATGGAAGGAGTACAACTTCCAGTAGCTTCCTGAAAATGGGGTGCCTGGAAAGTGTTTCAAATCTTGGCGAGTCAGAAAATGCCTTCATTCTGCCCGCATACTTTAGTTGGTAGCTTGGCTAACTCTGGGTTTCTAGTTGTCATTTCCTCTTAATATTTTAATAGCATCACTTGCTTATCATCTGGCTTCCAGTGTTACTGCTAAAAGTTGAGAAAACAATGTTTTGTTTTTAAAAATTAACACATGAAACATTTGGAAACACGGTAATGTAACAAAAACCCATGTAAATACTGTCCATTTCAGCAAATATAAGTTCTGCTGATTGTACTTCATTTCTTTCCTTTTCCCTTTTTCTCTGTGTCTCTCTACAGTGCTGGAGATCAAACCCAGAGTTTTGCTCATGCTAGTCAAGCACTGTACCACTGGGCTATCTCCCCAGCACCCTTTTCCTTTCAGTATTTATTGATACTGGCCTTTCTGATATCATTAGAATTTTCTCTTTGTTTTCCTCATGTGTTTTACTACTCATGCTAGATATTAATAGATCCATAAAATTGTATGCATGTTTTAAAATGTTTTTCCCTTCCCTTCCCTTCCCTACCCCATCCCGCCCCTCCCTTCCCCTTATTGGGGTCCCTGTCCCCATGACTAGGGAGGGTGAAAGCAATGGGAGGCCTTGGGCAGGTAATGAGGAGCCAGAGCAGTGTTTCTCACTGATGTTCTTGAGACTCACTTGTGCATGTGCCCTCAGATGAGTAACTCAGTTTACTTCTGAAGAGAACATGGAAATTCTGACCTTAGCTTTAGTGCTTTCATGGAATGAGGAGTGACATAAGTAAAAGTCACTAATAAAATTTTTTGTCTGACCTAAGCTTTCTTTGGTCACTGAGCCCACATAGTTTCTTTCCTTATGAAAATAGTGTAATTATTATGCATCTTGCCACCATTTTATTGTTCAGTGCGACACTTATTCTGAGCAAATTGAGACACAACATGATCTAGAACTTTGGTAAGTGTGAATTGAGGAAGACAGTGATTCATATTTATAACAAAACCAAGTGGTAGGAAATAAATTTTCTTTTTCTCCTGTTGTACCACCTGCCTTCTCCAGAGGTGATGGCTGGTAGCAGTTTCTTTGGAATCCTTCAGACCTAGTACAAGATTATTTAAGCTGTACCCCATGTAGTCTTTCAAAATTAAATATGAATGGTAAGTAAAATGTGTCTTGTATATGTAAGCACATGTGCAGCTGCCTTATTCTCTTTAATGGGTGAAGTGTAACTATAGAATATATTTAATCAGTTTTCTAATGATGGACAATTTTTTCCTTAATGGCTAAAATCCCTCACTCATTTCTGCAACATACTGTTTAGGGGATGTTTGTTACATGCTAGTCTAGATATTGGTACTAGAACGATAAATTAAGATAGTCCCAGGGCCAGGAACTTAGCTCAATGGTACAGTGCCTGGCTGGCAAGCACGAGGTCTTGAGTTAGATCCCTGGTACCAAAAAAAAAGAAATCCTTGCCATGACAAAGGACAGTTTCACTGCCACGCAGCAGGGAGCAGAGACAGCAACTGCTGACAGGCTCGAAACTCATCTCAAAAAGAAGCTGCTGAATCTAACATCAGCTGTAAATGACTCACTTTTACATTTTTGTTTTGAATTTTTTCTGATATGATGACTGTCTTTCTTGACTAGAATTTTAAAAATAATGTTTTGTTCTCCATAATTCACAAAAACAACAACAGCAACAACAACAACAAAAAAGATAGTCCCTGTCATCAAAAATAAGATTCAAGGATTGGAAAAAACTCATGTCAATAAGTACTGTGGGTACACTACAACAGAATGAGAGCGACATTACATGTGAGTCCTTTGGAATTGACAGCCTTTTCACCAGAAGCATGTAGTTCGTTCAGGACAGTCCTCATCCCTCTTCCCCCAAGTGTACATAACTTAATGGCAATTTATGCACTTTCCCGTCCCATGCCTGTATTTCTCCAGCACCACCATCTCTGTTGTAAATGAGCCCCATTTTCAGACTCTTTGTGAATAAATTACCTTTATTAGGAATTTGGTTTGAGGTTTTCTTTGCTTTTTTTTGGTACCGGGGATTGAACTCAGGACCTTGCGCTTTCGAGGCAGGCAGTGGCACCAGTGAGCTAAATCCCTGGCCCTGCTTTGAGATTTTCTTGAGCAGAGATGTGCTCATCTAAGATCTGTGGTCCAAGTATAGATTTGGAGTTTTGTGTTTGTGTAGCTAAGATAAATCTTAGCTCCATTTTCCCTCTTGTAACTTTGTGTCTGATATCTAATATACTTATAAATAAGAAGAGATGTGATTTCTTTTATTAAATTTATAGTTTTTTAATATATAGGCCAAAAGTAGGAAAAGAGTGGTGACTATTTTGAATAAGTTTGAATTTTTTCCTTTTTCTTTTATAGGTTGCCCTGTGGGAATGCAGGTGTAAAGACAAGTTTCTACCACATTAGAAGATGGGGTCAAATAGCAGCAGGATCAGTGATCTTCCTAAAAATGAGTATTTAAAAAAGTTGTCAGGCACAGAATCTGTCTCTGAGAATGACCCATTCTGGAATCAGCTTCTGTCATTTTCTTTCCCTGCACCGACTAGCAGGTAAGAGATTGCCTAAAAATAAAGACAACATGGACTTATGTGATGTGTTGTTTTTTAAAACAAAGTTTTAGTAATAGTGATCTATTTGTATCTGTCATGCATCCAGTAGAAAATCCAAAAGGTGTGAAAGTGGAAAATAAGAGAACCACCTTGCTTCTCCAGGGGGAGGGATGGCTGGTAGCAGTTTCTTTAGAATCCTTCAGACATAGTACAAGGTTATTTAAGTTGTACCCCATGTAGTCAATTTAAATAATTTCATAATTATTTAAATATAAATGGTAAGTTAAATAAAATGTGTCTTGTATATCTCAGCACATGTGCAGCTGCCTTATTCTTTTTAATGGCTGAGGAGTAACTATAGAATATATTTAGTTTTCTATTTTTTGTTATTTTTTTTGTTTTTGTTTTTCAGTACCGGGGATCAAACTCAGGACCTTGTGCTTGCAAGGCATGTGTGGTGCCACTGAGCTAAATCCCTGGCCCTGCCTTTTTTTTTTTGAGACAGAATGTCTCTATACTGTGGTTGAGGCTGGCTTTGAACTCACTGTGTAGCCCATTAGCCTAGGCTGGCCTCGGACTCCTGGAAATCCTCCTGCCTCAGCCTCCCAAGTGCTGGAATTACAGGTGTGCGCCACAATGCTCAGCAACCATCGCCATTTTGATAGGTGGAAGACAATATGTCATTTTAACTCTTTATTATAAAAATTGACATATGGTAATGTAGAGTGACTAGAACATTGAATTTCCATATATTCAGTAACTAGATTTAAAACAAAATCTTTTTTAACAGATTTGTACACACACACACACACACACACACACACAGCTTAACTAATGTTTAAGGAATAGAAGACTGCTATAAAAATCCCATTTCTTCCCATATTGACCTATAGATTGAAGGTAGTTCTAATTAAAAATCCTAATAGCTTTGTTTTGGGAGGTTGGGGGATGTTGATAGGCTGATTGTAAAATTTAAATGGAAACAAAACAAAACAAAACAAAACACCAGGCTTGGCGGCACATGCCTGTAATCCTAGCTCTCTGATAGGCTGAGGCAGGAGGATTGCAAGCTCAGCCCAGCTTGGGCAATTTGGTGACTTAGCAAGACCCTGTCTCAAAATAAAAAAAAAGAAAAGGCTGGGCATATGGTTCTCATGTGCAATTTAAAACTTATTGGATTGTTTATTTCTGGAATTTCCCACTTAATATTTTCAGACCATAACTGCTCATGGGTAACTAAAACTCTGGAAAGTGAAACTATGGAAAAGTGAAGACTACTGTACCAGATTTATGTAGAGTTGGCACTTAAAAGCAGTGGAGAAAATATTATTGTTATTATTTATTTTTTATTCTTTTGAGACAGGGTCTTGCTTTGTAGTTCAGGCTCACCCTAAACTCACTATGTAGCTCAGGCTGGCCTCAAACTTGAGGCAGTCCTCTTGCCTCAGCCTCAGCTTCCTGAATGCTGGGATTACAGGTGTGTGGCACCATGCCCGGCAAAAGTTGAACTTTTTAAGGCATAGCAATAGGAATTATTAATGTGCCATTTTTGTCTTTTTTAACCTCTAAGTTTGCCACACTGTGCCAGTGCTTTGCAGTTAAGTTATGGTTTTATAGTTTTTTTGTTAATTATTCCTTTTTCTCAAATATCTTTTGGTGTTCTAATGTGTTTATTCTTTTTGATGTCATTCCCTTTTAATTTACCTTAGTTTACAGAGAAAGGTATAAAGGAATCTTAGAAACTGTAAAATGCAATAAAATGAATATACTGCACATTGTAGGTATGTGGGGTGTCTTAGTTACTTTTCTCATTGCTAAGACAAAATATCTGACACCCAAAGTTAAAGGAGGAAAAGTTTATTTAGCTCACAGTTTGTAGAGGTTTCAGTCCATAATACGCTGGCTCCAAGGCAGGATGGCATGGCAGACAGGCATTGCAGAGGAGAAATGGTTCATGGTGGGCAGAAGGATCAAAGCAACAAGAGTCCACTGAAGCTCTTTCTATCCCTTATATCTTATCCAGGCTACTTAGGTGGGTAGCACCCACACCCTTAATCCTAGTGCCCTTGATCTTAGCCTTACACCATGAATCAATCCCAGTGTCACACACTTTAGATCCATCCACCTCTAAAAAAACCCCACCTGTGACTGCAAAAGGCTTTGGGGGGACATCTAGATACAAGCTATAACATGGGGTAATACTCTTAGTTAATTCATTTGTGGGTTGAATATACTTTTGGTGGCACATACTTTGTTCCTTCTGCTTGAGAAAGTGACACTCTTTATTAATGAGGAGCTCTGCTTTTTAGTGATGGTATTTGACAGTGATTTTGAGATTGAGTAGGCTTTGAGGTAGCGGGCACTCCCTTGTTAACAGACTCAGGAAATGGAATTGCCTTGTTTATAAATTATTCAGGGATAAGGTGAATCTCGGTAGGGAAGACTGAATTCAGATATTTGTGAGATTGTTCATTCCTGGAATTCCTTGGGTCCATAATGCTATCTTCAAATATAGCCTATTTTTGCAACTAAAAATTGATGTCTGCCAATTTTTAAAAACACTAATAAGGCCTTTAGGACCAAGCTAATCCTTCTAAACTATTAGCTATTTTTAGCATTAACATAATCAGATTTTGTTGAGTTTCCAGGCATGGTTGCAAAATCTTTCTTACATTCTTCAATAGTTTTAATATTTCACCCTATTAATATTAATTATGAAGCAGTGGTCTGAAATCAAATCAAGTATAATTCAAGAGTAAAGTTTAAGTAACATACCACTTATATTTTGTGATAAAATATTTTTTAACGTCACATAACTGATTTTATATATATATATATATATATTTCTGAATTATATAATAGCAAAAATGCAAACCAATCTGTGCTTTGCTTACTATTTTTTTAGTTTGTCGATATCTGAATACCTCACATGAGGATAGGTGCATGTGAACATATTCATAAGTGTATGTCATGGTTATCATTAAGAACTGCAGGACCAGTTGAACTTTCACAATGTATGTATCTATTTACTCATTGGTTTTTCAGGCTGTACTGGTGAGGTAGATAGAGAGTCTAAGGATTTATAATCTTATTTGTAAGCCCACAGTTGACCTTGGTAATGTGTGATAAAGGCTGTTACGGAAGTGTACTGAGAAGCATGAACACACCAGGAGCATCTCACTGAAGTTAGAATGGAGCAGTTTAGGCTAGAAACTTATTGGAAAAAGTAGCATTCATTTATTTATTTCATTTATATTTTGAAAGGTAATTAATTCCTGTGGTTTGAATCTTGGAGCATACTAAAGTGCATTTGATGAAAGGTCTCCTTCCCGCCCCTATCCCCAGCCACCTCAGTATTCCTTTCTGGAGGCAGCCAAAGATGACCTTTGAACTGAGACCTGAGCCAGAGGAAAGGGGCTGGGAACAGGAGAAGACTGGTCCAGGTAGAAGGAAGGAAGTCTTGGTAGTGAGGAAGAATGTGCCAAGTGTTTGGAACTGAAGAGGATTGGTGGAGGGAGAAAGTTGGAAGATTTGAGAGTTCTTATAAAAATATTAAGAGTTTCAGCTTTGTTCTACTATTGGTGGAAATCACTGAAGGATTTTAATCAGAAAGGGCATGGTCAGGTTTTTATTTGATTTTCTTATTGCATCACCTTGTGATAATCATTCTGTCCTTCAGAAATTATTATTTCTTGACTACAAAGTTTTTGTCTTTCTTTTTTCTTTACATTTTAGTTTTTATTAGTACAGATATTCCTCATTTAATGACCTACTTGTTTAATGATCAGACTTGGACCGAGGTGTGCTGTTCAGACTTAAGACCTGCTGCTCTGACTTATGACCCGTCTTTTTTTTTGCACAGTTCTGTACATCTTGTTTATAGAGCCTCAATATCTTTTCTTAGTACAGTATACCTTGTTTATACAGTACCATAACTTTTGTTGATGGTACAGTACAGTACTGTAGTTTATGTTGTTATACATTAAAGAACTGCATGTAAAAGTTATGCAAATAAAAGCAAAGTTATCAAGTTTGAGTTTCCTTTGACCATTCCTTTGTTTTGAGTATTGTTGTGTACATACTATATACTGTTCTTCAATTAGTGACCAATTAATTCATTTAAAGACCTGGTCACAGGAATGCAACTCAGTTGTTAAATGAGGAACATCTGTACACATGTTTGTATTACATAATGTTTACATTCCTTGTGGGGAGTTGGTACATGTACATAACACAACTTAATTCTTTTTTCATCCCCTTCCCCGTCTCCTCCCCCTCTTTCTTGTTTGGTTTTGGGTTTTTTTTCATACCGAGGATCGAACTCAGGTCCTTGAGTTTGCAGGGCAGGCAGTGGAACCACTGAGCTAAATCCCCAGCCCTCCTCCCCCTCTTTCCATCTCATGATCTCTTCGCATTTGAGAAAATCCTATCTCCCTACTTCCTGTTATCTATCTTTTATTGTGGTCTTTATTTATTTTTTTGGTTTCTCACATAAGAGAAATTATGTGATATTTAAGGTTGTGTGTATGATTTATTTCACTTAACATATGGTCTTAAGGTGCATCCATTTTCCTACAAATAACTCACGTTTATCCTTCTTTTTGGCAAAGTGTATACCACCATCCATTCATCTGTTGATGGACCTATAGGCTGCTTCCAAGATTTAGCTATTATGAGCTGTGCTGCTATAAACATGGGTATACATGTATTACTATAAAATGGTGTCTTTTACCCTTTTGGGAAGATACTTAGAAGGGGAGTAGCTGGGTTAAATGGAATTTTTAATTTTAGTTTTTTGAGGACTCTTCATACTGATTTCCATAGTGGTTGTACTAGTTTACAGTCCCATCAGCAATGTAATGTTGTCTGTCTTTTTTGTTGTTGTTGTTGTCTGTCTTGAGAGTCTAAAATATTGGAGGAATGAACATAAATAGGAAAAATTTAACCAGTTTTCCGATGACCATTGTGTCTTGCTGATTGAAAAGTCATATGACTTTTGA